CCCAGGGCAGAGGTGAGTGGGGGCAGGGGCCATTGCAGAAAGAGGTCTGTGATCAGCTGACAGGAAGCAACCTGCCACATTGGGGGGGTGGGGCGCGGTGGCAGGATCTCCAGGTGGGTAATGCAAAGGCCCTGGGGCAGGGAGGAGTCCATGAAACAAACAGAAGTAGGGGAGGGGGGGAGGATGTAGCATCCAGAAGTAAGGATTTTCGAGAGAAGGCTTGCAAGGGATTTAAACTGGCCAGTGGCATCTGATTTACTTTTTCCAAATAGGATTGAGGGGAAGGAGGAAGTGTTTCAATCTGTTGTATTTTCTGTGTTTAAAGAAGAAAACCTATTTATTAATGAAAAATATAACACATATAAAAAATAGGATTGAGATCAGCTGTATCAGAAAAAAAATTACAGCACCCTCAAAACAAAACAGATTTTTTTTCTTACTCACAGTAAGAAGTTTTGAGGTGAGCAACCCAGGGAGGGCCTGGGCTCAGTGCTCCAGGCAACGGGGAAACAGGCTCCTCTGTCTTTGGCTCTTCTGTGTGAGACTCCAGCGCCTAAGTTCTCCTCCTGGTCCCATATAGCTGCTGGAGCCCTAGTCATTACATCCATATTCCAGCCAGCAGGAAGGAGGAAATAATGAAGACTGGCACACCCGCTTCCATCCTCAGGATGTAGCCACACAGGCACACCCAGCTGCAGGAAAGGCTGGGAAATGCAGCTCCTATTTTGGGAAGCCATTTTCTGAGCTAACATTAGGAGTCTGTGACTGAAGAAGAAGGGGAGAGCCAATAGTGTGGGTGACCACTGTCCCTGCCACCTTTGCCCTGGCTGGTGGGGACGAGGGCTTTGCTGGGCATAGATGACCACAGATGACCACAGCTGACAAGTGGGATCAGCCCCACCTGCCCTGGGGAGAGATGCACAAACAGGCAGGGCAGATGGATGAATCAGGGCTCTTAACTGTCTCTCCACAGTACCAGGGGTCCCTCCTGTCAGCTGGCTGCCTCACCCACTCTGCTGATTGCTGTGTGACATGCCAGAATGCAATGGGCATAATTCAGCAACTCCCTCATGGGGGGCACCCACTTTGTTTCCAGGGGTCAGGGCTTTCGGGGGCCAGCTGCGCCTTGCCATGTGGCCTCGGGCATGTCAAGTGAGGGGGTACACACACCTGCATGGGTGCCCACCTCACACTACCTGGCCAATTACCATGCTCAACCTGGGCTTGCCTGCATGACATTGGCAGTGCTTCCCCTCCTATCTTTAGAGTAGGGGTGATGGCACAGTACCTCCTTGCATGCCTAGCCTCTTTCCTCTGTCCTTCTGGAAATGGGATGGCAAACTTCCCCCACCTCCTGCTCTGTGCACCCACCTGGTGGGAGCTGTGGCCCCCGGGGGGGGGGGCGCCTGGCGGGAGTGCCCTTTGCCCCAGGGTTGGCACCCTCCCTGGCAGGCTGCATGTTCAGGCCTGCCTAAGCTCAGGAGAAGCAGAGTTGCAGCTGCAGAGCCGGCCTCCTGGGCCAGGACTGAGCATAGGCCTGCATTACTCGGCCTGGGACACCAGGGGCAGGCCTCGCCACCTTCCAGCCTCGGTCTCATCCTTGCTCCATGCCCACCTCTCAGAGATGGAGAGGGACAGGGACCCGGCTATTTTCAAAGGCTCCTGTTCATAAATGTGGTCTGTATGAACACACAACCGCCCAGGCCTGAGGTGCCACCTCTGTATTCTCCCCGAGGTAATGTTTATGCCCAGCTCCTGGGGCCACAGAGAGGGTGGGAGTGCAGTGGGAACCTTGTCCCTCCTGACCAGGAGTGATACTACAATTCTGGGTCCTGGCGGGATCAAGCCACCTGCTCAAGGAGGCAGTGTGAGGAGGGGGCTGAAGTCAAGGCCTCTATCACCCTCACATAGGTTGGGTCCCATCTTCATGGCACCCCCATTTTATAGATAAGAAGCACTTCCCCAGTCACACAGCTCAGAAGGGGCAGGTGAACTCAACACAATGCTGCGTGTGCACGCTGTGTGTGTGTCTGCATGTGTGTGCTGGTTGCACACGTCCCCTCCACCATGTTCCTGTGTCGATGCTGGAGCACAGCTGGCTGGCCCCATTCCTCCCAAGTCCACCTCACTCCTGGGACACTCCTCAATGGTCAATTCCCCACTGGCCTTGCTCAGTTCAGGGTCTGGGAACTGGAAACCAGCCTTGGACACTCATTCAGGTCTTTCCAGGAGAATTTGAAACCAGGTAGACTTGGGGACACTGGCCCTTTCAGCCTATCCGGGGAATAGTCTGGGAAACAGACACTTCCTAGGCAAATGAGGACAACACAGCAGACAGGAAGTCCCTCCCTGAGGACACACGTCAGGGCTGGCAGGCCTGGAGGATGAGACCCTATCCAGGGCTGACCACACCCGGACTCCAGGAAGGTGGAGTGCTTGCCAGGACTCCACAGTCAGTACAGAGTAGGGTGACATACCCAGCTCTAAATGCCCAGTTGTTCCACCACCATCTTTCCTGGCTTCCTCCTTCTGGACGGAAGGAAGAATGAACCTCAGTTCAGAGCTGTTGAGGCCCACAGGACAGATGTCCTCAAGATGGAAGACCAGGCGCCATGAAGCTTTCCCACGGAGACCCTGTCAAGTGCCGGACAGGCAGGGACACAGAGGTCCCACAGTCCCTCTCCTCCCCCAGCCTCCTTCCTCCTTCCCCCATCCTGGGGCCTCCACCCTCCGCTCTCAGGGGCCTCGCTCCTGGTCACCTCTGTCTGGCCTCTCCAGGAGCCAGCCTGCCCCCAGCGTGGGAGTTAGTCCCATATGGCTGGGAGAGAGGAGAGTGCATTTGCATGAATGATGCCAACATCTGGAAATCTGGATTTCCAGCTGCTCGTGGTCAGGTGTGGGTTATGTGGGTTAACAGTAACCACTGTTATAAGAGGCTGCTATGCCCAGACCTCCCAGATTCCCAGGCACTGCCGTGCTCCTGCTCACGGCAGCTGCTGAGGCAGGACCAAGGAAATGACCACCTCTCTGAGCCTCAGTTTCTTAGCTGTGAAGTGGGCCAACAGCATGGGACAGGTGTACCTAGGCAGAATCAATGCCCCAAGGGAAAGTGCTGGGTGCGGATGGGGGGACTTCAAGGCTGTAGTCAGGCCAAGCTCCCCACACACTCTGAACCCCAGGACCCCCAGATAGGAAGAGCGCTGAGGAATCAGATCCAAAAGCCTCCATGAGCAGATGGGGAAATCAGCCATACAGCAGCAGGGGCCCAGCTCGGGTTCAGCCCCACCACAGGTAACATGGCTAGGCCTGTGGGTCAGGGCTCCAGAGGCCTGACCAAGGTTTAGTGGAAGATCTCTTTCTTGGTAAATCCCCAGGGTGACTTGCATTTTCCAGGCCTTCAGTTTCACTTACAAAACACCCTGCCCCCTTCCCCATAGCAGGGGTGAGGCACAGGGCAAGGGGAAACAAAGAGGTCCTAGCCTAGAGTGTGGAGGGCAATCAAGGGCAAGGCGAACACTGGGTTCCAGCACCCACGGGTGCCCACCTGCTGGTTGCGCAGATGCAGGGGGAAGTGTCCATTGCTTAAATAGCCTCACAACCTCCCCAGGGGTTCTGAGCTCTGCCTCCTGGATCTATCCCCAGCTGTGCCTCAGTTTCCACCACTGTCAGCTTCCCAGGGCTGTAAGAGAAGCAGTGCACCTCAGCCCACACAGGGCTGCCCCACATCACCTCCCACAAGCCCTACTATGGCTGCCTTGTTGCAGCCTCAGTGCTTAGAACAGGGCCTGGCATGCAGCAGTTGCTCCATGATTAGAGGGTGAAGGAATGCGCCTCCAGCAGCAGCTGGGCTGGGGCTCAGGGGCCCTAACTTGCTGCCTCCTGACCTTGGCACTGCTGCTTACCCTCTATAACCTTCAGCTTATGGGGAGGGGAAAAGATCATGCCAGCCTGGCCTTGTGCTAAGAGCACCACGTTCCCCTCTCACATGTGGGGGAGCTGATGCACAGAGAGGTCAAGCCACCTGCGTGAGCCCACACAGCTACTGGCAGTGGTTCAGGGTCATAGAAGTCTGGCAGCCTGACCCTACCAGGCCCTGAGAGGGACTACGGAGCCTCCCCTGGGCAGCTGGGAAGATCAAAGAGGGCCCCGTGGCTCTACTTACCGCACACTGGGGGAAGGGGGGCTTCAGTGGAGACATCAGCAGACACCCGGAGAGAAGGCATTAAGTCGAAGGCTTAACTGGGGAGGAGTCAAAAGCAGCTGTGCCCGGGAGCCGGGTCATGGTCAGGACAGGAGAACACGGTGGCTCCGGCCTTAGAGTACCAGTTCTGATAAAGCCCCGGGCCCTTCCACCCCACACGCCTGGGAGAGGCCCAAGGCCTGGGAAACAAGGGCCAACTGAGCCAGGGACTGGAGGAGCCAACAGCTCTGGACGCCCCGACCCGCTGCCACCCAGGCAATGGGGCCCTGCATCCCGCCTGGCACCGGAGGGCCCAACACGCGGTAATTCGCTTTCTGCCTCCCCCTCCAATCCCTCCCCTCCGTAGTGCGCAAGAGGCTTTCGTGCACGCATTTCGCCGGCGGGAAAGCAGAGGCTCAGAGGCTGGAGGCCCAGTGTCAGGCAGCACAAACGGACTCGTTGACACAGTTACTGTGCGCGGGGTGGGCCCCCAGGATTTACCACGCCTTGAAACCCAACCCCAACAACACACACCCGCGGCAGTGGTGCCCCCTGGCCTTCCTTCATGTCGCGCCCGGCAGTTGCGAAGCGGCCAGGCTCTTGGCCTCATTTTATGAATTCAAAGTGTCCACGACGGGCGCGCACTGGGGGACGTGTCTAGCCCACCACCACGCGAGGTCGGGGCCTGGATAGCCAGGACGCAGTGCAGGGTCCTCACCCGGAGACGGAGGCGTCGTCTCAGTCCCGCGAGCGGGGCCTCAGGGGCCCGGGCCGGGCCCGCCCCGGCTGGGGGCGGAGCTGGGACGAATGCGCGCCGCAGGGCCGGCCGGGGCGGGCCGTGGGGGACGGGCCGGGGCGGTCCCGGGCGGGCTCGCAGCCTGTGACCCACGGCAGAGACGCGGAGGCCTTCAAGCCGGGAGTGAGGCGGCCCCGGCGGCCGCAGCATGGACTCGGGTCCCGAGAACTACGAGCTCAACGGCGACCTGAGCTCGGGCTCCCCCGGCTCCCCCGACTCCTCCGTAAGCTCCCTTCCCCCGCACTGCTGTGCGACATTGTCCGGCTCCCGCCCTCTCTGGGCTCCGCGCCTGCGGCTCCAGGGCATCTATGGGCGCCGGCCAGCTGCGCGCTGCGTCCTCATTGCGGGGAGGCTGGGGTTGAACGGGGGCTCAGGGCGGCCTGGCAGGCTGCCGTCCCGGCCGGGCCAGCGGGTGCCCACGCCTTCCAGCGACCCTGCCCTCCCCACTCCCGCGCCACACTCTAACTTACTGTCGCCGCTACTCCGGCTCGCTGCGCTCGCGGGGTGGACGGAGAGGATCCCAGCCTCTGGGCCCCAGGCCAGCAGCAGGCAGACAGTTACGTCACCCACGGTGTCCTGGCGACCGCACAATCTGGAGCGTGCCCTGATGGGGAACTTGGGGCCGCTGTGGCCCCGCTCCCCTCTCCCCTCTCCACCCCCAGGCCCTCTGGCAGCCTATGCAGTCTGCCCTGCCGACCTGGGAGGGTTGTGGGCATGGGGCAGGCCCTGGTAGTTGTCCCACTCCCACATTAAGACTGGTGCCCTCCTGCCCTTTGGTTCCCTCCAGCTGCGGCAAGGCCCAAGCGGTAGTCCATGCCACTTCTGGCCCAGCGCCTGTTTGTGAAGCAGTCCTGGGCACAGCACTCCAGGATTGGTTGACTTTGGACATTCTTTCGCTTTCTGACCCTCTGGGGATGGGGGCAGGGCCAGGAGCCTCTCAGTGGTGTGAACCTGACTGGGGCAGAGACAACTGACAATGCCCAGGTGTGGGTGACCAGTCCTGGAAATGCCCTGGTGGCATCCCATGTTGGTGTTGGGGAAGGGGTGAGGACCATGTGGGACAAGTGAGGCCCCAGATGGCCTGGATGGCCCCACACCATAATCCTCTCCATTCTTCTCCATGGCAAGCCTTTCCACGGACCCAGCCGCCTTGCCAGCCCTTCAGTAAATCCTGACAGCCCTGGGGTGGCACAGGATGTTTGTCCCCGGGTTAGAGATGAGGAAACTGAAGACTGAGAGGAGTCCACCGTTAGCCCTGCCATGGCATGTGAACACTTTGGAGCAGTAGGCAGTGTGTGCTTGAGGAGGCTGCTTCACCTCACTGGGCCTTCTGTCCATGGTCTGAAAAGGGAGAACAAACGACCCCTGCCTGCTTTGGGGCAAGTGGGGAGAGCTCGGCAGGTAACAAACAGGGCAGATGGGTTAGAAGTCAGTTTAAAAGGGGGGGACCCTGGTCACCTCTCAGCCTTGGTTGGGCCCTTCACTCCACACCTGCCTTGCTTGCCTCATCCCTGGAGCACTGCATTGTCTCTAGACCCAGAGTGAGGGAAGGGAGGATGGTGGCACTACGCTCCATAAGCAGAGCAGACTGAGAAGCCCCCTGGCCAAAGTGCTGAGCGTGGTGGCGGTGGGAGTGTGACATTGGCATTGGGCCCTGGAAGATGAGTGGGGTGCAGGTGTGTTCCCCCATAGTGTGGGGAGGGGCATCCCAGGCAGGGAGAATAGGGAGAGAAAGGTCCCTAGGCTGGCCACCGAGCACACTGGGGCTAGCTAAGGAGGAGGTTCAGTGATGCGAGGTCAAGCCTTGCTGGGAACTCCTGTGAGTTAGAATGCATTCATCTGGCTGTCTTCAGTCACAGGTGGGAGGCTTTGGGAGGGGTGGCCAGCCTCAATGCCACTTTGCTCACCCTTCCTGGGCCCAGGTCTACCCAACATTGTGCCTCAGTCTCCGCCCTCCCCTTCCCACCCTCAGGACCTGCCTCATTGTGTTCTTGGGCATGCCCTCTGTGCCTCAGTTTCTCATATGTGAAATGGGGTGGTAGCAGTGCATCTCTCAGAGGTTGACCTGAGGATTAAATGAGCTAATGTGTGGAATGCCGCAGCCAGCCAGGCACACCATGTCATTGACATTCCAGCCTGCCATATGAGGCCCTCTTCCAGGGAGGATGCCCAGGCAGACACCTTACCCAGGTGGGACTTCTGGACAGGCATCCCCCTCCCCCTTCGCCTCTCCTGGCTCTTCTGCAGCCTTCTCTTCCAGTGGCCCTGCCAGAATCTGAGCCTCAGGCACCTGTATGAGGGCAGGAAGAAAGTCTTGCTGAAATGAGGGATAAACCCAGGGGTCTTAAGATACATCCCCACTAGATTAGGAACCCTAGATGGCCGGGTGAGTGGGCTAGGTCACTGCTGTGACCCCAGCATGCCCTTGCCTATGGGAGGACAAACTGGGAGGCCTGGCCTCACCCTGTGACCTTGGGCAAATGCAGACGGGCTCCAGCCTCAGTTTCCTCTTCTGTGAAATGGAGTGGAATGGCTCACCTCCCTGGGTGGTCGGATCTAGGAAGGGATCGCATGCGTAACCCATGAGCAGACGAGCCCCCCTGGGCCAGGGCAGTGGGGAGCGCCACAGATGCCCCCCTCCATGTGCCCGAGCCCCTACAGTCCTCAGGTAGGCGCGTCTGCCTAGGGCCCAACAGGAGTGATTTGGTGTTTTTGTTAAGTCAACTTGCTTTTGGCTGCCAGCAGAAGGAATGGTAAACATCCATTTTATTGTGAAAGTGGCCCACAGCTACGTCATGCCCAAAGTGGCTTGGCTTGAGGGCAGCTGTATTGGACCCTGTAGCAGATGCTGGGGTCCTGGCAAGCTGATGACACAGCAGGGAGGTGGTGGGACAGGGTGGGACAAGGCTCCTGGGGCCATATCTGGGTCATGCACAGCCTCAGTTGCTGGGGAAACTTTGCTCTTCTAATTTCTGCTTTCCTGGCAGATTCCAAAGCTGACAAGCTCTTGGCCAAGTCTTGGCCGAGTTCTAAAAGGTAACTCTGTGGCCACAGGGTCACTGAGAGACAGTGCTGACCCCACAGGAAGTGGGTGTGCCCAGCTCATGGTACAGCTGCCACAGGAAACCCCCGCCCCCAACCAAACTTCCTGCATGGAGCTGGAGACCTCTTGGCTGTCTGGGTGGGGACAGTTTAGGGATGGTGTGGGCCTATGTGGCCCAGACGGGTGCCTTTACACAGCCTGTGCAGAGGGCACAATGGCAGCTCACGCACGGGTGGGTCAGACAAGGGACAACCAGGCCCTTGTCTGACCTTGGTTCTCAGATCCCACCCCAGAAGGGAGGACACCACAGCCCCACACATCCACTGATGCTGACTGAGCCCGATGGTGGGTCCCTGCACAGGAGGGACTGCAGTGGGCCAACAGCTGGAGCTGGACACCCAGCACACTGCAGTGCCGCTCGGCTCACACGGACAGCCCTATTTGCCAGGCTTGTCCATTTTCTTCCTTGTTACGGAGTTGTTTGATGGAGTTCATTAATGAGCTGGCACAGTTTGTTTGGGAGGCAGTCTTTCAAAACCCTGAGGGCTAGGCGGTGGGGAGGAGGACCATCCACCTTGCCCCAGCCTGCTGTGCTCTGACCAGCCACCAGGCCTCTGAGCCCCTCATTCAGTCCCCTGTCTGCCTGGTTTATAGATGTGAGGAAGCTGAGGCACAGGGCAGGCACCCCTTAGGTCCGTGGTGTGGCAGGGTACTGGGATGATAGAGGGTAGAGGCCAGTAGCAGCCCCACCCAGCTCCTAACAGGCTGGCCAATGAACCACATAGATTTGTTGGGGTCCTTGGTCGTTTGCTCCGCACACGTGAAAATGGGCTATGGAAGAACAGGCGGGGAATTCCCATGTGGACTCCTTGCTCCATACTGTCCTAAGGATTTGGGGTCTGTAGCAGAGTGGGGGTCAGGCAGGATTGGAGGAAGTCAGTAAACAAACCCCTCAGGCCCTGCAGAGGCTCAGTGGGCCTCGGCCCTGGCCTGTCCTGGTCTCCCAGGGGAGCAGCGAGCAGGAGGCTGGGGCTGGGCTAGACAACCTGGGCCCAGCTGGTGCGTCAGGCAGCCAGCCCCCCACATCCCCATCTCCCATCCAAGCCTGGGGTGGACCAGAGCATCCTACGCTGTGACCAGAACTGGGCACTCAGGGTACCTTAAACCTGGGTTGAAATCCTGGGTTCAGGCCCAGTTCTAACTCCCCTCCCCCCTGAGCTGAGCATGCCCAGCAGTGTGACCTGAGTCCAGTGGCCTGGGTCCCTGCGAGCTGCCTGTGAAGAACTGCCACAAGACCCTCTGTCCTCAGAAGGTGAGTGGCCCTGTGGAGAGTCAGCTTCCTCCGCACAAGGCTCCTCCCTGTCTTTTAGGGGAGATCATCCAGCTCCTGGGACCATAGCTGAGGGGTTGGAAGTCCTGTTGGCCCCGGGGACATGTTAACCAGGGTTCCCTGCACTGCCCAGATCATGGCAGAGGTCTTGGTGGGAGAGTCCCACACAGGGTGGCTCCTAGCAGCTGAGTGGGCAGGTAGCGGGTCCAGACCCACAGGGCTCCAGACCTATAGGAGGTGGCTTCCAAGACAGTGGCCTCCTTGAGATTCACCTGTGTATGTGGCTGCATGGCTGCAAAATAAAAATTTTAATGGTTCAGGAGAGCTGAGAATAAAAAAGAATTCTTCCTCCTGCCCGGAGGCCACCACAGCTAGCCTGGGCATGTACACATGCGTGCGTGCGTATTTATTTGTGCATGTGTACTTGTGTATGTGTTGTGCATATGTGTGTATGTGTACATGTGTATGTATGTGTGTGCGCGCACATCATTTACATGTGTATGTAGGCTCATGTGTATGTTTATGTGTGTATGTGTATACGTTTGTGTGTGTTTATATGTGTGTATATATGTTGCTTATGCATGGTGTGTGTATATGTTTATTTATGCGTGTGTGCATGTGGGTGTGTGTGTATACGCTCATGTGTATACAGATGTGGCCCAGAAGTGGGGAGCCCCTGTAAGGTCTGCACCTGGCTTTTTCTCTGGTGTTGGAGACTGGGATGAGCATTGGGGTAACTTCAAGTAACAGCACTTTGACAGGGTGTGGAGCTAGAGGACATCATTATGCTGTGGGGGACACAGGTCCTCAGGCAGTGGGCAGCCTGCTCCCAAACCCTGGGGAGGAGCAGCCATGCCCTGGGGTGCAGAGGCCTGGGGGACAGCCCACCCAGCTGTGGGTGTAACTGGAGACCTGGCATGGGGAAGCAAAGGGAAACCCCACATGGAGAGTTACAGGGGAGACCCGGAGGGCTTGGCTGTGCGTGGAACATCCTAGAGAGCAGGGCTGGGGCCTGGGTCTGTGGAAGAGGCCTTCCCCAATGCCCTTAGGTCTAGCATTTTAACCCAAGAGGATTTGCTGCTTCAGAGCCACTTACTGAGGGAGGGTGGGGCAGGTAGCAGATCCCTCTGTGTTCTGCATGCCCAGCTTCCCTTTCTCCTGGCTTTGTTATTCTGGACTAAATTTAAACTTAAAGACACACTGTAAAGCAAGGCCCGCCCTTCTGTAGGTCTTATTTTCCCAGGTAAAATTTCCAGCTGCGGAAAGTAGAGGCGGACTGAACACCATGTTGCTTCTCCTGGTGCTATGTGGCCTCTCTGGCACCCGCCTCCCAGCCCTGCATCTTTCATAAGTCTAGAAACAGGATATCTTGGGCCCCAGGAGGCCTGCCTGCTGACCAGTCCCCTGGGAGGTTGCAGTCCCAGCCTGGTGGCTCAGGCTCCAATGGACAAAGGGCCAGGGCCCAGGGGCACAGATTTGTCCTTAGGGGCTGAGGAGGGGCCTGGCCAGGGGCAGCTGGATGTCACCTTGATGTGGGCTGTCCAAAGTCACTGCATGGAGGGGGGACCTAGAGGTGGCAGGGAGCCTGCCCTGAGGTCAGGCGTTCTCAGGCATGGGTGAGGGAGGAGGGGTCAGAACTCGTATTCCTGTTTTATCAACAGGAAACCGAAGGCAGAGTAAGTGCAGGAGTGCCACTGTGCAGCATGATGTCACCAGTCTGGCACTGTAAGGGTGGCTTCAGTCAAGTCTTCTTATCACAAATCATAGTGAATAAAGGGGGCAGGAGGAGGTGTTTGGAGGGGATGGATATGTGACGGCCGGGAGAGTAATGATGTTGTCACATATGTACACTTATCTCAAAACTCTTCAAGTTGTTAACATTACATATGTATATGTTTTGTGTCCATCATACTTCAATAAAGTGGTTTAACATTTTTTTTTAATAAAAATTAAGGATGGGACGTGGAGTATATTGTGGGAGTGGAGTCAAGGGATTTGTAATAGATATGTATGATATTGGGGGGAAGTGGGGCGGCAGATTGGGGGAGGGGGTTGTCACTTCGAGGGGTAAAAAGTATAACTATTGCACTGTGTTGTACAGCTGAAACTAATTCTAAAAAATGTGTATTTCATAATAAAAAATAATTTTAAAAAAATTAAGGAAGAAGCCAAGCTCAACTTCAGCACAGCATGCGGAGGCATCCCTTGAGCACCTGTGTGCCCTCTGCGGCTGGGAGGTGGCCTGGGAAGGAAGGGCCGCTGGTCCAGGGAAGGATTGTTTCACAGCTGGATAAGAGTGCAGGGATCCGGGATCCAGCTCCTGTCCTGCGCACACGTCACTTCCGACCTGGCACCAGTCACCCGCCCCGACTGGGGGGCGGGGTACAGCACTAAAGGCAGGGGCATCCAGGGAAGGCTGCCAGGCTCCACTGCAGCAGGCAGGCGCTGGGGGCAGTCTCCACTCTGAAACCAGAGTATGTGCTGGGGTGTGTTTGTGTTCCTTTCTCTTCCAGGACTTGATCCCTGGGAAGGGTCTAGCAGGGCTGCACATCCTTCTGTGGGCCTCTTGTTCTGTTAATAAGCCCTTCCCTCTTGAGCCCTCACCTGGGCCCACACCTGCAAGCCTGTCGGCCCCCACTTCCCTGCCAGTCCTGGGAGACCTGGATGGGGCCTGGGGTGGGCCCAGACCTGCACCCACGACTGCTTCCTGCGGGTAGGAGGTTCGCTGACTGCCCCCTCCCCACAGCCGCCTCGCTGGGGCAGGAGCCGGCCCATCAACGTGAACCATTATGCCAACAAGAAGAGCGCGGCGGAGAGTATGCTGGACATCGCACTGCTGATGGCCAACGCCTCCCAGCTGAAGGCCGTCATTGAACAGGGCCCCAGCTTTGGCTTCTTCGTCCCCCTGGTGGTCCTCATCTCTATTTCGCTTGTGCTGCAGATTGGCGTGGGTGTGCTGCTCATCTTCCTGGGTATGTGTCTGGGCAAGGCTGGGTGGTGAGATGGCCTGGGGGCAGCTCCACCCCGTGGGCGGCTGGTTCTCTTACATACCTCCAGGGCTGGGATGCTCAACACCTGACCCCTCTGAGTATGGGGGTTGCCAGCCCTCACCTGGCCATGAAGTCCAGGATGCGGACCCCAGAGAGACACCCAAGGCTCTGTCCTTCCTGAGGATGCAGGAAAATCTCATAAACATACTAGAGCTGACATGTGCCTACCATGTGCCCTCTAGTCCTAATGGTGGCCTACAGGACTAGATAGTGACCTTGTGCCCCAAGCAAGCCTGCACCCCAAGGTGAGGGTCAGGGCCAGGTGCGGCAAGGGCTCCAGGGCTCCTCTCCTCCTGGCTGGTACCTCAGACAGTTACTTGGCCTCCCGCACTCAGTTTCCTTGCCTCCACCTGGCCTCCTGGGCGTAAAGACCGGGTGTTGTGTATGTGTGAGTATCTCAGGGTACTCACCTATGTGTGCTCAGCACATTGTGCCTTAAAATCCAACGTGGACCTTGGGGTGGCGCCCCCCACCCACTCCGTGACCACAGGCACCAGGCCCCTCTGGGCTTCCAGCCACCCAGCTTCCAGGTCCAGACCCATGGTCGGTCATGTATTAAAGTAGCATGTCTCTCTGGGACACAAGTGGGTGCTAGATGTAGCACCTCTCGGCCACAGTGCTGGGCCCAGGGCAAGCAGCCTGGGAAGTGGCCATGCTTTCTTGCCCACAGTCAGGTATGACCTCAACAACCCGGCCAAGCATGCCAAGCTGGACTTCCTCAACAACCTGGCCACCGGCCTGGTCTTCATCATCGTCGTAGTCAACATCTTCATCACTGCCTTTGGTGTCCAGAAGCCCGTGATGGATGTGGCATCCCGGCAGTAGGGCTCAGGTGAGTTGGGAGGGCCAGGCTGTGCAGCCCCTGGCCACTGACCCAGGAGCAGGCCTGGGAGCTCGGGGCCTTTTCCTAGAAGCCCCTGACCGGGCCTCATAGGGTAGGCACTCCTGGACACACACCCCCACACCATACTCAGCCCATGTCCTTGCTCAGAAGCCAAGCACCTGCCAAGGTCACCCTGTTAAGGAGCAGGAGCCAAGGGAGGCCGGTGACCTCGAAACATGCTCAACACAGCAGCACGACTGTGCGGCGTCTGGGGGCTTGGAGACAGTCACCTGCGAGTGTCACATAGGCAGATGCAAAATTCAACTTCTGCTGAGCTTGATGACAGTGACCAGGGCCTGGCGCATGAGTGTCCTGTGTCTGGGGCCCAGCGTTCACTCCTTAGACCTGCCCCAGAGGAAAGGTGGGCCCCACAGAACCTGCTGGATGCCAGCTTGCTCCCTCATTAATGACATGACTACCATACCATTCATTAATCACCTACTGTATGCCCCAAACACAACCCTGACCCTCCCAAGCATCAGCCCCATGATGTGAATCAGCCCCTGCTCTCCAGGTTCCCCATCAGAATGTTCCAGGACTAGGCCTTTAAATCCTGACAGTGACCCAGGAGGGGAAACCGAGACTCACCCAGGTCAGAATTGAGCCCTTCCAGATTTGGAGATGCCCCAAAGCTCATGGACTGGTTGCTGGGCATACCGCTAAGGCAGGGTCACTAGGACAGGACCAGGGCCCCTCTGGCCTGGGTGGTCCTAACACCTTCCCTCTCCTTTGCAGATACCCCAGATTGTGCCCAGCCACAGCCACACAAACTTCAGAAGCTGCCTCATCTTTGGTGCCCACCTCCCTGCGTGGCATTCCCTGAAACTGCCAGAGCCCAGGACTGGACTGGAGGCCACGTGGGCCGGCCTGGGGACTGTTCCATCCTCGGCTGCTCCTCCTCCTGTAGGAGGGGGCAGCAAGGCCCAGAAGGCAGAACTGGAGATCCCCAAGAAGGGTAGTGGTCAACACGGACACGCGGGAGGCCCAAGGATAGGCAGCAAGGGGCCAGGGTCGGCCTCAGTCTCAGAATGTTTCCAGAGGGACGAGAATAAGCCCCCCCTTAGCCGACACACCCCCTGGGGGACCCATCGCCTCTATACTTCCTGACCCAGGAGACTGGACCTCCAGCTCCTCTCTTGGCCCCCCACTGTGGCTGTGGGCCCTGCAGATGCCTCCACTAGCAGTGACTAGGCAGGGGCCTGGGACCTGAGGCCCCACTTTTCTAAGCATGAATGACCAATAAAGCTGATGCTCCTGTGCGGCTCCCAGTGCTGTCCTCCACCCCTGTCCCCAGGCCTGGGCCCTGCACCGTGCCCCCAGAACCCAGCCTGTGCTGCCTTCCCCTCTGGGCCTGGGCCCTGCACCGTGCCCCCAGAACCCAGCCTGTGCTGCCTTCCCCTCTGGGCCTGGGCCCTGCACCGTGCCCCCAGAACCCAGCCTGTGCTGCCTTCCCCTCTGGGCCTGGGCCCTGCACCGTGCCCCCAGAACCCAGCCTGTGCTGCCTTCCCCTCTGGGCCTGGGCCCTGCACCGTACCCCCAGAACCCAGCCTATGCTGCCCCCAACCCGGGCCTGGGTTCTGCACCGTGCCCCCAGAACCCAGCCTGTGCTGGCCCCCCCTCCCACTCAGGGCAGTCATGGGGACATGGTTCGAACCACAGGTGCCTTCCCAGAACCGCAATCTTGAGTAGCTCCCTTGGGTCCTGACATGTCGGGTCAGGTTTTTCGGCAGAGATTAGGTCTTGGGTCTCTAAGGCCCTAGTGTCTTTTTTTTACTCCAGAGCACAGAAGAATGGTTCAAAGAGCTCCTGGTAGCCTGGGTCCAGAAGACTGCATGGCAGGGAGTCTCACCATGGGTCATCATTTGTTTTTTAGGAGCCTGCCTGTGGGCCCCCCCACCCCATCCCATCTGGCTGTGGCTCTAGTGAGTGACATACACACTGCACTGACTGCCAAAACCTTAAGTGTGAACCTCCCAGAAATGGATTCACTGGCGTGACCACTCACGATAACCATGTCAGAAAACCAGCCTTGATACAATACTGCTGCCTACATGGCAGACCCAGCCATGCATTGCCAGACTTCCCACCAGCTCATTTACAGCAGAACAGAACAAAACTCCAAGGTCCCGCCCCTGCTCTGGTTCAGGGGCTCCTAGGTGTTTCCTCAGATCTAGTTCAGGTGGGGCAATTTTTAAGGTGACTGGCCTGGGGTGCCTGTGTCAGGGCTGCCAGGCAGTGGCTGGTGCCCATGTTAACTTTGGGGACATTTGGGGTCAGAAGCCAAGACTGGATCCTCCTCCACAGGGATTGGAGGGAGGATGCTATGCAGGACACCCTCTGGGGGAAGCAGCCTCCATTGGCATCTCCAGACGGCATCCCTACTGTCCTCAGGACACTTGGCCCGGTGACCCCTGACCAGCCCCTCATGGAAACTTCCAGCACTCACTGTTTTCTGCAGATTCATGCCACGTGTCTTCCCTCCATACCCATAGGCGTGGCCCACTCTAAGGTGGTGCCCAGCATTGCCCTTCTGGCAGGCCTAGCGTGCTAAAGAGAGAAAGGCTGGCCCAGGCAGCCTGTGTTCCTGCAGAGACCCCAACAAGGATCAGCTGCTCTCTCTGGAGGGCTGGTCTGTACCAAGGGTCCTGCCTGAAATCCCCAGCTGCTTTTATCTACCCCCAGGCCTACAGGGCCTGAGCCCCTTCTCTGAGTCCCTTGTCCCCTCCAACATGACCCGGCCTGCTCCACCCCCTTATCTCCTTAAGGTGGCAGGCCTGCCCTCATCTGGTACCCTCCAGGTGCCTGGGATACCTGGGAACGCCTGTGGCCTTCACCCCTCCTCCCTCTCTCCCCAACACTTCTCCTCCACCCCTATCCAAGCCTGCAGTGGCTCCAACACCTGTTCCCTTAAGATGATCAGGTGACCTCGCAATCTGGTCTGTGGGGCTAAAAGATCAGCTCTGCACAAAGTGACGGATAAACAGGAGTGCTCATGGGTGAGACATCCAGTCCTGGGCTTTGCTTACAAATACTCCACATGGAAATGAGGAAACAGGGCTGGAAAAGCACTGGTGACTGCAGTGCGGGGCTACCAGGTGGCCCTGCTCTGGTGAGAGTCTGAGTGTCCGAGTGTCCCATAAAGAGGCTTTCTAAAGGTACAGGAAGAAGCAAGTGAGCAGGTGGGCAGTGGGTATACACATCTTTGTGGCCAGAAGGGGCAGGTGCAGAGATGTGCGGCAGGCAGGCCCTGGGGTGGGTGAAGAGGAGGTTCCCGGACTCACACCTTCTCTCCTGCTGGTCACTGTAAACACACCTACCTTCCCCTCTTACTTTTGGCAGGGAAGAGCAGGTGGTCAGTCTCCCACACACACACCCTGCACAGGCCCTCTTGTCAGACTGTCTGATGTGCCCCGTCCCATCCTTTTTGCCCCTGCTCCCAGATATCCCAATGTGTCCAGGACAATGTCCAGGCCCCCTCCCTCGGGCCCAGCTTTACCCACACCTTGTCCCTGGGATGGCTTGGAGTGGCCTGTGGACTGAGGTATGGCTGGCCGGCAGTTATGAGAGAGGGATGCCAGCCTGTGTGCTGGTCTCATGAGGCAGTACCTCAGACATGGCCAACGGATGGACTGGTTCCTCCTTTTGCCAGGACCGGAAGTCTGCCCGGACACAGCTGTAGAGGGACAGCCCCAGATGGCTGGACTGAATCCTGGGCCACCAAGTCAGGCTGGCCTCCCTGGGTTCTGGGGGCACTGGGGACAGGGCATGACAGTGGATGGGTCTGTGTATCCCAGACCCCCCAAACACCCCATCCCAGGTAGGGGTGTGCTTTGTGGCCCCAACGGCCCCATCCCCAGTATCTCCACCAGGCACACATGATGGCCCCCCACCTCTCCACCCACCAACTCCCAGGCTCAAACCTCAACAGTAACTCTAGCCCCCTGACCCTTACTCTAGACACATTCTTATCTCGGGTCTTGGCATGGGCTGCCGCTTTCCAGGGTCAGTGCTCAGCGCTGAGGCCCTCCCCACAAGCCCTCAGACCCCTTCACGGGTCACTGTCACGGTGAGCTATTTGGGTTTACTTAGCCCTTGGGGCTATATGGGCTGGCCTCACTGACCACTGTGTCTTCTTGGCAGTGTCTGAGCCCCACCCACCCTTGCCACCCTGGCCCAAGATCAGAGATGCACCCCTGGAAAGAAGTGCCCACCGGTCTCCCCAAGAGCAGAGAGGCTCTGCCTGAGATGAGGGAGGTGGGCCCCGTTCATGCTTGTGCTTCTACTTACTTGGTCTGGCCCGGCTCTCCCACCAGATACCACCATCCATGGCCTGTGTCCTTGGCACTATGTCTGGCATACAGTAGGTGCTCAGTTAATGTCTATAGCACACCCACTCACTCAGCCATGTGTGCCGAAGCCCAGAGAGAGAGCCAAAGTGGATCCAGCCCCCAGGTGTGACAACTCTCAGCGGCTCCTTCTGGACCCTAACACACCCACTCTTGCACAACTCCCCCATCTGCCCTACCCTGGAGCTCAGCTTTGTCCCCTCAGGGGACATCAGAGACCCCGAGGGTGAACAAAGGGTTTAGACAAGGAGATGCATACACGGAGTTGGGGGTATGCCACAGAGGGACACACATAGAGATAGGGTGTTGGGGAAGACTCAAGGGTGATGCTGGATGCCTGATGACAAGAGAGAGCCTTGCAGATGGATGAGCCCTGAGGCCTTATGAACCGGGCTTGAGGGGGGTGCTGAGTGAGACTGGCAGAGGGACTACAAAGTCTGAATTAAGTTTGCGAATTTTATTGCAATGATGTTGCTAACCTGTTTATATCAGAGGGATTATTCATTATGAATTTGTACCAACTGGACAAACAGTTAACCAAGTTTACTATTTGGAAGTGCTGAAAAGGCTGCATGAAAAAGTTAGACGACCTGAACTTTTTGCCAACCATTCATGGCTCTTGCATCATGACAATGCACCAGTTTACACAGCACTGTCTGTGAGGGAGTTTTTAGCCAGTAAACAAATAATTGTGTTGGAACACCCTCCCTACTCACCTGATCTGGCCCCTAATAACTTCTTTCTTTACCTGTAGATAAAGGAAATATTGAAAGGAAGACATTTGGATGACATTCAGGACATCAAGTGTAATATGATGATAGCTCTGATGGCCATTCCAGAAAGAATTCCAAAATTGCTTTGAAGGATGGACTAGGCACTGGCGTTAGTGCATATCTTCCAAAGGGGAGTACTTTGAAGGTGACTGTAGTGATATTCAGCAATGAGGTATGTAGCACTTTTTTTAGGATGAGTTCATGAACTTACTTGTTCAACCTCGTATGCTTAACCTTCTTACTGTAAAAGATAGATGATGGTGGATAAATGGACAAGAGATGATAGATTAACTGATTGGTAGGTGATAGATGATATTGGGTTGTCGGAAAAGTCATGATGTATTTTTTCTATGTTTTTCTTTGCAAAAATGCGACATGACTTTTCCAACAACTCAATAGATGGATGATGGATATGTGGACAGAAAAGGGGCCGCATGTTAAATCTGACAAGCTCAGGAGACTGAAAATAACCACAGAGGATGGTGTGAACATAAAAGTTCCTAACAAAGGTGGGCATGGCGAGAAGTCACATCCTTGGCCTGTAGCTTCCTTTACAAAGGTCAATCTTTACCTTAAGCCTGTCTGTCATCTTTTTGCATCTAAGGTAACATACCCAATATCAGAATAATCTCTTTTTCCAGACCCCCCAGGGGGCACAACCCACCACATCAGAGCAGGAAACTACAAAGTCCCTCATTGTTATCTTGTTCCCCAAATACTATCTCTATGTGCTGTAAAATGCTATTAATTATGCTGTACCCACCAATGTAAAAGAATTGTGTGTCTCTCCATTTTACTTTTTATCCAATCCCAGAGATTTCCCCCCGCTTTGCTTTCTCCCACCCCCTTAATCTATAACCAATGGATTTCATGTACCCTTCCTCCTTTGATTCTAATGTATAAAATAAGTTGCAAAACGGCCATTTTCTGGAGCATTTTCTCAATCCCTTGAGATTTTGCTTCCCGGCAATTGTCGTCAGTTTGGCTCAAATAAACTCTTATAAGTTTTCTCTTAGGCTGGATATTTTTCATAGATAGATAGATAGATAGATAGATAGATAGATAGATAGATAGATAGATAGATATTGGGTTGTTGGAAAAGTCACGACACATTTTTGCTACGAAAAACAGAAAAAATATGTCATGACTTTTCCGACAAACCAATAGATAGATAGATAGATAGAGATGATTAATTGAATAGATAAAAGATTAATGGATAAACGATAGATGATAGATAGGTAGATGGTTACATAGGTGATAGATTGACAGATAAATGATAGTAGATAGGCGTATAGGTAGAACGGTTGTCCCCAGTGTCTTCAGGCAAGGAAGTAGTTCTGTGCCATGGAAGCCCAGGCAGGGCCCCTCCGTCCCAGGACCTTGCTGATGTCTCCTCATGGCTCAGGTCCCCTGCCTGCATCCAAGGACACCAGTTTATTCCTGCCTGGCTCAAACCCTGGGTGTGTCCTCTAGGTCTGGTTCACTCTACAGGTTTCCCTCCCATGCCTCTCCATCCCCACTATCCACACTCGACCTGAGCTGAGGAAGGATAGGAAGGGTCAGCCACGACCACCACCACCCCAGTTGACCACCCCCAGGAGGTGATAACCAGACAGGGTGGGGCTGCTGCACTGAGAAGATGGTCATTTGCTCCCACACTTGCCACACCCAACCCCCTCCATTTTCTTACTCCCTCAGGGGCCTTCCACCAACCTTTAATTGGCTAATTCCTCTTTCCTCCTGGCATTATTTTTTAAAATCAAGGAGCTCAATGTTTTAATGTCTTTCTTCTCTTTCTCTCAAGTATTTATTTCACGGGGAAACTAATTAAGCACTGGATCTGTGTGGCCTGAGAAAGCTGCCCCAGGGCAGCGGCCCATCCCTGGACCTGCTGGGCTTCTGCCCTCCATGACCTCTCAGCTGGGAGATGGGGTTCTGTCCCACCTCCAGGTGGGATAAATATCAGGGTCCCAGCTGCCACCTGGCCAGTGCTGAGGGAGGGCCCCACTCCCTAAAAGGGGTCCTGTTCTTGCTCTCATTCTACAGGTAAGCTGACCTGAGCTCCAGTGGGCAGACCTGGGACAGAACAGACCCAGCAGCTCTCCCCCACCAGAGCTCCCTCCAAACCCAACCCCTCACAGATACTCATTTTGTGACACTGTGGGTCCCATGACCAATCTAGCAGGGGCCTGACCCAGGACCTAGTCAGGCCTGCGGTTAGTGAGGACACAAGGGGCCCGGGTGGGCAGGGCTCCCTCAGCCTTGCCTCAGAGCGCTGACTTGGTAGGAAGTATAAATAATAACCCCAACTCCAGCAGCGTCAGCGCCTCACTCCCGCACCTGGCCCTGTGCCTGCAGCATCAACATTATCCTCTTGTGAAGGGGAACCCTCTGTTATGCAACATGCAGCTGCATTTGAAACTCCGAAAACAAGAGCCTGTGGCACACCCAGCTTGTAAATATATGCCTTCTGGGAAGAGCTAGAGACCCAAACTCTCTCCCTCATAGGAACATCCACTAATCAGACACGTGGCCCTCCTTCATAGTACACCGTCCCAAAACCCACACCAACTCCCTACCTAACCAATTCTTCACACCCTCCCTCCCACTCTCATCACACTCTCCCTAACACCTCCTTCACACCCTCCCACATACACTCTCTCACTCTGCCTCACACCTTTCCTCACTCCCTCCCTCACACCCTCTCACTCCCTCCCTCACACCCTCCCTCATTCTCTCTTTCACATCCTCTCTCAATCCTTCCCTCACTCCCTCCCTCACATCCTCTCTCACTCCCTCCTTCACATCCTTCCTCACTGCCTCCTTCACACCCTCCCTTACATCCTCTCATACTCTCCCTCAGACTTCCTCCCTCATTCCTTCCCTCACACACTGTCCCTCCCTCACACAATATCCCACACCCCGCCCCTCCCCACACACCTTTGGTAATGGGAGATCTCTTCCCACCCCAGGCAATCCCTCCCAGCCCCTGCATGGCTCTGGAGGTAAGAAAGGCATCCCAACACTGTGGTAGGGATGATGAGAAACTACAGTCCTGGGTCCATTAAGGACAGGGATATGTTCTAAGAAATGCCTTGTTAGGTGATTCCATCATTGTGCAAACTTCTACAGTGCATTTACATAAACCTAGATGGTACACCCTACTGCACCCCTAGGCTGTATAGTCCAGACTTTTGCTCCTGGGCTACAAACCTGTACAGCATATTACTGTACTGAGTACTGTAGGCAACTGTAACAAAATGGTAAGTATTTTTGTGTCAAACATGTCTAAACATAGAGAATGTACAGTAAAAACATGGTATATAAATAAAAAATGGTCCACTTGTATAGTATAGGGCACTTTCCATGAATGCAGCTGGCAGGACTGGGTTGCTCTGGGTGAGTCAGTGAGTGGGTGGGGAGTGAGTGGGAAGGCCTAGACATTACTGTCCACTACTGCAGACTTTATAAACACTGGACACTTAGCCTACACTAACTACATTTATAAAAATATTGTTCTTTCTTGAATAATAAATTAAACTTAGCTTACTGTAACTTTTTACTTTATGAACTTTTTAATTTTTTAACTTTTTGACTCTTGTAATAATGCTTAGCTTAAAATATAAATACATTGTACAGCTGTACAAATATTTTCTTTCTGCTATATGCTTTTTTTCTATTTAAACACTTTTAATTTGTTTTACTCTTTAAACTCTTTTGCTAAAAACTAAGATACAAACACACACATTAGCCTAGGCCTATGCAGGGTCAGGACCACCAATATTACTGTCTCCACCTCCACACCTTGTCCCACTAGAAGGTCTTCAGGGACAATAACACCCGTGGAGCTGTCATCTCCTGTGGCAACAGTGCCTTCTTCTGGAACACCTCCTGAAGGACCTGCCTGAGGCTCTTCTTGAGGAGGTGTCACTCTTTTCAGAAACATGTCCATGGTGCTTTGCTTGGTTTATTTCTCTTTTTCATCATAGATTTTCTCATAAGTACATAATGTACCATGAACATTCCTATTAATTAAAATGCGCAGTGCCAAAAAAATGTACACAAGTGGACACTTTGGTCAACGTTGCTCAGGCACTAGTTTGCTGTAATTAGAAGTGTCTGGATGCTGATGGCAACCACTTTGAGCACCTCTTGTAATTGTAGAAGTCAAACATGACCTGTATTCATCTTGTATTGTCAGTATATATTGAGTATTACAATTTTAATTGTTTTTTTCTTTCTTAAAATGTGTATACATTTTTTTGGCATCGTCTGTATTTTATTGTTGGCGTCTATGTTTTCAAACTTTTTAAGGATCTTGCTGAGTTCTACAAAAGCTTCTTCTAAACTTTTCATTGAATTTTCTTGAGAATTCTTCTTCTCCTGCAGTTTCCTTTTCTCCTGCCTCTTCTTCAGCTACATGTTCCTGTTCCAGTTCCAACAACTCTTCATTAGTCAGTTCCTCAAGAACCTCCTCTGGAAACTCCCCAATGTCATGTTCATCCATGACCAGGTTACAGTTGTTTGCCATCTCAGCCACAGCCTTGGTGATTTTTGCAACCTCCTCATCCTTGGCAAATCCTTTGAAGTCATGGAACCTCTTGAGTGTCTTCTTCCAAATGCCATTCATTCACACTTTGGTGACATCACTCCAAACCCAAGCAAGGTCACAGATGCAGTCATAGATGGTGTAGGCTTTCCAGAATTGCATCAGTGTCTTCTCGGTGTCTTCCTCAGTTGCAGCAATAGCCTGGGCAAAGTTCCCCAAGATAATACGCCTTTAAAGCTGCTATAACTCCTTGATCCATTGGCTGGATCAAAAAGGTGGTATTTGGAAAGAGAAACACCACTTTGAGATTGGTATGAAGATCACCAACAAAAGGAGGAGCTTTATGAACAATAAGCAAAATCTTCAAAGGAATGTTATTCTCCAAACAGTACTTCCCCATTTCACTGGCATAGCAATTCAAGATGGCATCTTGAGAGCAGAGCTGGGTCATCCATGACTTCTCATTGCTCCTGCAGTACACCAACACTGTGTGCTTATTGATATGCCTGAAGGCCCTGGGTTTGCACTGTGCCGATCACAAGGGGTTCCCATTTGTTGCCTGTGACACTGCCCCCAAGCAAGACTATTATCCTGCCCTTAACAGCCTTGAAGCCTGGCATTGACTTGGCCTCCATATGGATGAAAGTCCTTTCAGGCATCTGTTTCCAGAATAGGGAGTTTTCATCCATATCGCATATTTGCTCTGGCAAGTAATTTCCCTCCGCAATCAGCTTATCTAGCGTTATTTTTTCACAGCAGCACTCTCAGGCTCACCACTCACTTTCCCATTATGTAATGAATAATGATTCTCGAATTATTTAAACCACCCAGATCTAGCAGTAAATTCATCATCATAGTTGGGTCCAGCCTTTTCTTTCAACATTGCAAACAAATGTCTTGCTTTGGTTGTGATAGTTATGGTCCTGAGAGGAACACGCTTCTGTGTCTGGTCTTCAGGTCATTAGAAGTTTCTCCATGTCTGATATAGGCTCTTCTTGAATTTTTGTTAGTCTCATTGCCTTCAGGGAAACAGATCCATTAACAACTTCTGTCTCTTTGTTCTTGTTCTTCAAGATTGAAGCTATCTATGGTCCAGTGGGATATGCCACTGGTGATTTTCTACCTTGATAATCCTTAATCACTTTTGTTTCTAGTTCAGTCACTTGATGTAGCCTCTTACTGGTAACACTAACAGTGGATTTGTATGCTTAGGGTCCATGATGAACAGAACAACATGAGATTAAATCAAGCACAAGAGAAAATGATGTAGTCAAGAGATGAGTTAAACACGAGATGTAGGAGGCTGCTGCCAGCATACCACAGCTACTGTTTTACAGCAAACTTTTAAAATAAGTAGATAGAGTTCACTCTAAAATAATGATAAAAAGTATAGTATAGTAAATATATTAACCAGTAACATAGTCATTTATTTTCATGTATTATGTACTGTACATGTTGCTGTCACACAGCCCATGTGCTCAGGGCATCAAATATTTAACATTCAATAGATAAGAGTTTGAAATAACAAAAGGTTTTATTTATCGAGACAATGCTGTAACAAGAAGATGGGAGCTTTCTACTTTTCTCAAATCTGTCTTAAGAGCACCCCACCATCCAGCACCCTATATATCTAGGGAAGGAAGAAGGGGTGGGGCAAGAGGTGGGATCCAAGGAAGGGGGATTGGAATCTCCAAATCCTTGTTCCCAGTAGGGAAGTTACTCAAGTCCCAGGCAGAGCTCCTCCAGTCAATTAGCATATCTGCAGAAACAGGCTGGAATTAAGGTGGAGTCAGGGAGGGAAGGAGAAGCAGTCCACCCTGTTACATACATAATTGTATATGCTATACTTTTTATGACTTGCAATGCAGATTTGTTTATACCAACCAGCAACACCACAAACATACGAATAAGGCTATGATGTTACAACAGTTATAGCACTAGACAATAGGGATTTTTCAGCTCCATTATAATCTTATTGGACAACTGGCACATATGTGGTCCATTGTTGACCAAAATGTCTTTATGCGGTGCATGACAGTATTCTTACTGGAATGTTAGGGAGGACTTCCTGGAGGAGGTGGCATTTTACCCAAGATCCAAAGAGTGGGTAGATGGGGGATTAGTAAGGAGTATTCCAGCCAAGGGAACAGCATCAAAGGTGCAGAGGCATGGATCACAAGCAGTTATTTTTGTTGGGGTGTGAAGGTGGGGAGTCGGGGGCAGACAGAGAGGGCCTTGAGGGAGGAGGAGCAGCAGGAGAGGCTCTGGCTTGTTGTGCCTTTCATGCCCTGATGGATTTAATTCTCTCCAGGTCATAAGCACTGACTAACCAGGTGGTAGACAGACTGGGGAACTCCTGGGGGGAGGTGCTGAACCTAGACACAGATGCCCTATTGTTTTCCCTCCCCAAATCCTGCCCTAAGAGGAAAGGCCTTGCAGTGCTCTGACCAGATGGGGGCAGGCAGATTGGAGAGGGGCCTGGCCCGTGGGTTGGGCCAGTGGGCTGGGCTGTCACAGATCTCAGCTCCAGGCACGGAGTCCAGACATCATCATTGAGGCTGAGATCGGAGGAAGGGTTCAAGAACAGCCTGGGCTCAGGAGCTGGCTTTGGACCTTGAGGGCAGGGTCTTGGTGGGTCATGGTTGGAAGAAAAAAGTAGTCATGGGAAATGGCCCAGCCCAAGCCATGGGACAAGCACCCTGGACCTTCATGGCTCACCAGAGGGCTCCTGAGGCCCCGGGATAGGCACTGACCATGTCTCACTTGGGATGGCACCCTGCCACAGGGCCCTACAGAGCCATGACCTCGCAGGTGTCAGGTGACAGGCCCGCCTGTCTGTTGCACATTTCCTCACAGGCACTGCCTTAGACTCTCCTGGCTGCTACTCGTGTAACAGAGTTCATAGTCTGAGCAGCTTCAACAAAAAGGGCATTGATTTCTCAGTCTGGAGGCTGCAAGCGTGAGATCAAGGAGTCTGCAGATCTGGTACCTGTCACCTTTCCCCAGGCATCTCTGTCACCTTCACACAGGTGTCATTGCCATGCTCACCTGAGTATTTCTGTCATCCTCACCAAGGCATCTCTGTCACCTTCACCCAGGAGTCTCTGCCACGTTTACATGGGCGTCTCTGTCGCATTTTCCCAGCTTTGTCTCTCAGAGAGCAAGACGAACATGGAGAACACCCCAGGGCTTCCGCCCAGAAGAAAGTTACCCAGGAATCAGGATCTTGCCCACTCATGGCAGCTAGAGAGATTGAAGACTGGAAAGGACATGCCAGGCTGAGCCACAAGGGTCTGCTGACCTTGAGAACCTCTGCTGCCCCCAAGCTCATAGCTTAGAGGAGGCATTAGTACTAGTCCCATCTGTCTGGCGACCAAGAAGCAGCCTCCAGCTCAGCCTTTGTAGCGATGAGAGATTGTTTACATGGGGCCTCAATGGGTGCAAGGGATCTGGGGAGCAATGCCTCTTCCCAGCCCTGGACAGGCCCCGGAGAAGGGCTGCAGGGGAGTGGGCAGGTTCACAGTGCCTCCCACTCCGGACCCCAACAAGGTCAAGAGGGCTTCCATGTGGGGCGCAGCCACCTGGGGGCTCTGTTCAGCCTGCCCAGCTTGGGGCAACAACCTTGCTCATTCCACCAGAAACCTACTTTAGCTGCGCCTGCCAGCAAAGTGGTAAATGCATGGAGCACTTGCAGGGATGGCGCTTTAAGTGAGCAGTACTTCCCCAAGCTGTGCTCAAGGAGAGGTTCCCAGAGGAAGCCCCCACTGCACAGGTGACTGGGTAGCAGAGCGGGCCATCAGTCACGTCCTCGGATGGCAGAGCGGGTGATCAGTCACGTCCTCGGTGGCGGCAGGTGGGAGGGCTTTCCTGCCTTCACCCTTACTTCTCCGACGGGCACACAGAGTGAAATAGCACCAAACTGGCCACCATGTCTTGGAGCTGATTCCTCTGTCCCCATCTAGTTTCCCACTCCCTGTGCTCCCGGAGCCCCTCATTCCTGGAGTCAGCCTGCCTGGTGCCTCTGGAAACCCCCTGTGGAAAATGCAAACTCATGATGATTCAGGGGTTGACAAATGTGCTTGTTTCCCTAAAAAGAGGCTGAAGGGAGGAGCTGATACAGGGAGGCAATGAAAAGAGGGACCCACTGGGTACTGGGCTGAGGCCCCAGCAGCATTGCTCATGTGTGTGCACGTGTGTACAGGAATGCTGTGCACATATGTACACATGGTGTGTGTACAGTTCTGTGTACATGTGTGCATGTGTGTATAGTGCCTGTGTACATGTGGGGAGGGCGGCTGAAATAACACTTTCGGGTGCTGTGCAGTCCTGGGCTGAGAGCCTCAGGTCCCTCATCTGTAATGAGGGTGGTGACAGGCATGGAAGAGGGGAAGGGTACTCTGCCATCGTGCCTGTAGGAGGGCAGAAGGCATCGCTGAGGATGGGCAAGCATAGGAACCCGGGTCAGCTCCCAGGGCCCCGGGGCCTGACCGTGGACATCAAGGGCAGCACCGGACGCTCTGGGGCTTGATGCTCACCCTCTTCTGTTCATGAGGGACATTGTCACAGCAGGATCCTGAGCATGGGGCCGGGGGTGCAGACACCCTGGTCGAGGGGGCCAGAACTGAGAGGGACGGGCACAGACTTCCTGGTCAACGGGACTGGCACTGAAGACTAGGGATGGGTGTGGCCAAATCCCAGGCAGCTGATGGAGGACATGATTGAGCCAGAGGTTAGGACCTGGGATGGCACAATGATCTATTTCATCTCTAAATTTTCTATAATGTTCCTTGGACTGTTTCGTTCTCAGAGTCTGGATTCTCCTGGGATCCCAGACAAGATTTTGTGTTCATTTCCAGGCTCTGAACTACTAAGAACCTGCCATAGCCTTTGTGTGGGTGTGGGAAGCAGGGGTTCTGTCAAGGGTGGTCTATGGGATCAGGCAAGGGCCCAGGAAGGGGACACGGGGCGAGGAGGGGGAGTCTCCTCAGGATACATCATGGGACAGGAACAAGAATGTGGTTGAGCTTGCACCCCAAGTGCAGGGTCCCATTTCTTGGCTAAGTGACCTCCTATCTTGTCCTATTTCCTTATTGGGAAAGTAGGAACAGTAGTCCCCACCTGCTGGGGTGGCCAAGAGAAATGAAGTTAACATGCAGAGACTAGAGTAGTACAAGTCATTGGCTGATGCCCCCCAAGGCCCAGGGCTTGGGTGACAAGAGTGGCCTGGTGGTGTCTGCCCATCCTACTCATCTGGGGCCTGGGGCTGGGGAGGGGGAGGTGGTGGGTAGGGACGGGTGTGGGGAGGTGGACGCTCTAGAGAGCTGTGGGAGGAGGACATGTAGCAGGG